ATTCCTCTCCTACTTTGCAGCAACCAGAAATTCCTCTGCTATTAATACTCAACAGAAACAGATTTGATTTTTTTTTAGTTTAGAAGCTCAAAAGCTGCCAGAAATTGTCTCAAAAGAAGCGTATACCTCTGAGAAGTTGTACTTTAGATTCGGAGGGTCTCGTGTCCATGTCCACTGTGTTAGTAATGAGGAATGAATCATGTAATGAGAAATGTGCTCAAATTGTCACGTTAACCCCTTTCTGTATTCACTTTCCCTCCTGGGAAGCCCCAGTTGGAATCTGCTATATCGTTTGTTTTGTGAAAACTTAGAACACAGAGCTTGCAATAGAATTTCTTGGGAATTTGAGTAGGTGGAATCATTTCCCAAAGACAGTGATCAAAATAAATGATTATTTCTGGCCAAACTCATTTCTTCTTTGGAGAAAAGAACTGGGATGGTACAGGGTTTTAAAGCACTCCATTTCCTCTTGAAGTCTGGACACGTAGATACCACATACCAGATGAACATTTCCACTCTCCTGGCCTAGCAGTGAAGCCCTGTATGCACCAGGGACTGTGACCTCTTTCCTCTGGGCTGTGACCGGGTCCACAGCCTGAGAAGGTTTTTCAGCCACTTCCCAACACTTGTGTGGGCTTTGGACTTTGGAAAGATCCAAAATTTTTGCAATACTTATTGATGGAACACACACTGGCAGCATTAGGCCCCTGTTGGTAGGGGCTGGATACCTTCTGGGAGACAGGCACCTAAGGAGGTGCAGTATCCCCCACATGCCTGGGAACACACCACTGCAGATAGGGTTGAAGAAAAGTCAACTACAGACTCCATGACCACACCCCTTGGAGCTCAGGGCCCTGCCTGGCCTCCAGCTCAGCTTTGTTCTTAGAGTACATGCAAAAGTTCAGTGGCAAAAGTTAGAAGGTAAACAATAGAACAGGCTACTGGTGGAAAATTAGAAAATAAAAACAAACAATGAAAAAATTGTATAGCTTGCAGTGTCACCTACCCAGAGAAAACCAGTGGTGACACTTTGGAGCCTTTTTGTACTTTGAGTAAGAGTAATGTGGTATGATCATGTAGTAGATGTACAATGGAGCCCTGAAATTCACGGGGGCTATACTGCTATAGCAGCTGAAACATTGTAGAAAATTATGAATTGCTAGTCAGAAAAATGTCTATAAATGCCCATTTTTATGATTTAAACTCTATGCTACGTCTCCTGCAGTTATGTAATTTAATAAAATATGGCATATAGTACTATAATAATTTAATAAAAATACTATGCAGCAGTTAAATCCTCTCTTGGAGTGTCTCAACTTCTTCTGGAGCTCAGGTTCATTGAAAGAAGCCTTAGAGGTGTCAGGGCCTCTTGACAGACAGAGGGATTATAGAGCTTTAAGAACAAAACCAAGAACACTGGAGATAGTTACGTCCAGTGCAGCAACTGTTATGAAGGCGAATGCTGGCGTATCTGCCTGTAATGGCTTACAGGGCGGCAGCCAATCAGTGCAAGGAGAACTGAATAATGCTTCCAAATTGGCTACTTGTGAACCTCTTGCAAACAACTGAGGCCGTGAGCTCTGGACCACAACTTCATGGGGGTATACTGTACACACATGTGATATGCTTATTACATACATGTACACTTATGCTACAAATATGCATGTACATGCAGATTATTCCTGATTTACAATGATTCAACTTACAAGTCTTTTTCCTGTTTTGGCTTTACAGTGGTATAGAAACAATACACATTCATTGTGGAAAATGTACTTACACTTCTAAATTTTTGTCATTTTCCAGGGTACTTATATGAGGTAAGGTCCTTTCTCATGACACTGGGTAGTCACGGCAAGAGACCGGCTGTGTCAACAGCCAACGCTTAACAGGTCACCATGCTTCTAAGCTATTGTGTTCAGTAGATTAGCTGCATAGAATATATTTTTGATTTATGATGGGTTTATCAGCATGCAATTCCATTGTAAGTAAAGGAACATCTATCTGCACACATGTTTTGATAACTAAACAAACATAATATAAAAACCTATTTTTTCTCTTGATGCATTGTGAAGATATTTCATATTCATAAATATGTTTATCCAATTTTAATCTTCTGAAGGGAATAATTTTGAATTTACCAAAAAATTACAAAAATAGCAGAGAGTTCCTGTGTTCCCTGTAGCATATTTCCTCTCATGGTCATACTTTTGTAACTACACTGAAAGATCAAAACTAAAAAATTAATATCTGCTATACTGCAAGCTTCCTTTGGACTTCTATCTTTCCTACTAGATTCCGTGTCACCTATCATTGTAATTTCAGTGCTCTATTATTTTCTTGATGTTCATGACTTGGACAGACACTTTTGAAGAGTACTGACTGGTCAGTTTTTTTGTCATGTCATTCTATCTGTGTTGTCTGACATTCTCTTGTGCTAGGTTGAGGCTATGCATTTTGGGAAGAACATTATGGCACTGTTCTCAGTGAATCATCAAGGCCTTTGCCATGTTGATGTGGCTTTTTTTATACTAAGTATTTTATTATATGTTGGCACCAGTGTATATAAAATACCCTTGTGAAATAGAAATTCATGAAAATCCAGAGAGGTAGATGTTAAGGACTGACAAATTAGAAGTTTGTATGTTATGGTACATGTTAAGAAAGGGGAAGTTTTTTTTTAAATTTTTTTTTCACATTTGTATATTTTATTTTATTTTTTTCCTAATTTTATTGATTAACTAATAGCAATGAGACAGTTTCAAATCAAATCACTAGGACAGTTTCAATAATTAACACACTGCATACATTCTTCTTAGTGGTTAATTGCTGTACAAGATG